GCTTAGGCTGGTTTCGAACTCCTGAGCTCAAATGATCCGCCCGCCTCGGCCTCCCAGAGTGCTAGGATTACAGGCGTGAGCCACCGTGCCCGGCCCTACAGGCCCTTTAAATCCAAGGTCTTTCATCTTTTTACTTTTAATCTGGAAAATTTATCTTCACTATTTCTTTAACTGTTTCTCCCTCATCTTCATTTAAAAAAAGTTCTTTCTTTTCCTTCTGGGATTCCAGTTAAATGTATTATTTTAGTGGTTACCGTAGGAATCACAATATAGGTATTTCATATAATCGAAAGTTAATACGTGTCTTGACCCTCCTCCTGGGTAGCTCGAGGGCCTTTGAACAGTTTCCCTGTATTCCTCATCTGACTTATGTGGCTGTGCAGTTCTTTCTAAAATTTTAAACCCCACAGGACTTTACTCAGCATACACTTAGGTTCACATAGTTTTTGTTCTTCATTCGTTCATACATCTCGATTTTCCATCTGGGATCAGGTTCCTTCTGCCTAAGGTATGTCCTTTAGGGCAGGTCTGCTGGTGGCAAACTGAGTTTTTCTTTGCCAGAAAATGTCTTTACTTCAACTTCCTTCTTTAAAGATGATCTCCCTGGGTGTGTAATTCTAGCCGGCAAGGTGTCTTTCAGCATGTGGAAGATAACATCTGACTGTCTTCAGCTCCCATTACTGTTGATGAGGAGACAGCTGTCTGCTGTTCTTCAGAAAGTAATGTCTTTTAAAAATCTGGCTGCTTCATATTTCCTCTCTTAGTTTCAACAGTGTTTCACTGTATAGATTGAGGTGTACAAACTTCTTTGCTATTTTTCTCTTCAGATGTGATCTCTCTTTCCTTCTGGGCGTCTGACTGCAAGTGTGCCAGACCCTGCTCTCAAACTTGCTGTGCACAGGAAGGCCCCAGGGATCTGACCGAAAACGCAGATTCCACTGCAGGAGGTCTGGGGAGAGCCTGCTCCAGGGACATCACTCTGCATCACTAAGTGGTAGCCTTGTCTCTCTACTTCCTGTCTTTTCCAGTTTTTGTCCCTTTATGCTGCAGCTCAGTCATTTCTTCTGACCCATATTCAGGTGACAGATTTTATTACACTGTTCCGTGGAGTTCTCAATTTCAGTTATTTTATTTTTCCTTGTAGAATTTCTATTTTGTTCTCTTTGGAATCTGCTATGCCACTTTTTAATAGTTTCCTACAGTTATTTTCAAGTTTGATTTTCATTTCTTGTAGCCATGCAGGGAGGGACTCTGTCTTATCACCTTGTTTAAAGCCTCTGTGTAGAATTTGCTGCTGGGTGTCTAGCTTCCCTACTGGGATGTCGGCTGCATAATATTGTTCTCCGCTCACGTGTGGACCGAACCTCCCGTGCTTGTCACTTGTTCCCGTCTGGGTGGGGGTCCTCTGCCTGTCTACTGCTCACTGGCCTCCTTCCCTCCTCTCCCGCGGAGGGGCCTACTCACGGCAGCGGGTACTTCTTCCACAGCAGCTTGGCCGGCAGCGTCTGGTACACCGTCTTCTGCTTCCCGTCAGAGCTGGGGCTGCTTTGCACGATCTTGGCGCACTCCATCTGTTCATCCCATGAGCCGGACAGCACGTACTGGGCCTTGCCCTGGCCATCACTCACCACTCCTGTCACCTGTGGACATTGGCAGGACCAGCGTAGGCGCATGCACCACTCTGGGCCCCCTGAGGTTTTGGCGGGGGGGCGGGGAGCCCTGCTTACCTTCCGGGCTGCCTCTTTGGAGAAGTAGCTATAGGGCAGGAACTTTATCTGGCACCGGTCGTTGGTTTTATGGTTCACAATCTCGATGTCCCCTGACTAGCCAGAGAGGGTGGTGGTAAGCGGTCAGTCCCCAGGCCATATACCCCATCCCCAAGGGCATCCCTAACCTGGTCGATCCAGAGCTTGCCCACGATGATGTTGTGCACAGTGGAGGTGCTCTTCCTCCACACGTAGTGATTCCCGCTGGCCTCGAATTCTAAGTGGATGGCACCTGGAAGCCGGTATAGGTCAGAGGTCATGCCCCACTATGTGGGGCTCTGGCCAGCCTGCCCATAGCCCAGTGTCTTGAGACCCAGGAGTCTTCATGCAGGCTGGGGGTTGGGGCGGGTGGGCCAGGGCACCAGCCAGCAGGAGGCCTGTTCAGGGGAGGCCCCCTGACCTGCAGGGAGGTCCTCCCCTGGAAGCCCCAAGCCAGCTTTTGGGCTGGCACAATCCTCCCTCTTAAGCAGAATGTCTTTCCCAGGAAGACAGAGGGCCCTGCTCACCCAGTGGCATGATGGAGATGTATTTTCCCCGGAACTTGCTGGAGATGGTGATCTCCTGCCAGAGGCTCCAGCCGTGCTTGGAGCACACGTAGTGTGCAGCTGACGGGGGGTGGTGGCTCACCTGAGACCAGACCCAGGATGTGAGCATCTGCTGGACACAGGCCCAGGCACCACTTCCCCAGCCTGCCCTGTCCCCAGTACACGCAGCACTGTGGCCATGGAAAGGACATCCCCACAGTGCTCTCCTGCCTTCCTGGCAGTATCCACTCTCCATTGTCTGTTCTTCCTCATCCCACGACTCTGTGGCTGCAGGGCCCCAGGCGCCCCTCTCTCCAGCCTACTTACTCCCTAGGGCACCAGCCCCGCCCTGGCCTCCTGCTGCCCCCACCACACCTTGTATAGTCCCCTGTCTAAGCAAGAGGCACCCCCACTCGATCCCTGTGCCTCAGAAGTGCAAGCTCAGACTGCCAACCCTACCGGGCGACAGGTGAGCTGTCCCTGAGCCCAGCTGTTGCCTCCACAAGTCCCCTAGGGCCACCCCCATGGGCAGTCAAACTCAGGGATGTGGCCACACAGGCTGGCTGTGGAGCTCTGCCTCTTCCATGCTTTCACTTCAGGCCCAACCTCCTCCGACTGCTCTGGAGTCCCCTGGTACCCGTTCTCATGCCCTTCTTCTAATCCTGAGCAAAGGCTGTCCGCAGCCCTCCAAAGCTCATCCAGCATCTGCCCCTTCAACCACGCCCACCCCCCATACCACACCAGAGGGATCCGCACCCAGGTCAGGGCCAGGCCTCCCACGCAGAGCGAAGTCAGAGCCCTCTGCTGCTTCCGCTCCACCCGCGTCTCCTTTCCTCCCCCCACTCTCTGCATCAGCAAAACTGCTCCCTGACCACCCCCTTTCTAAAAGAGGCAGAAGCATCCAGGGTACATACCACCCCCCAGGCCCATGGGAACAGGAGCCATGTCTGTTCACTTCCTGGCTGCACCTTCAGTGCCTGAATAGCACATGTCACGAGGGCACTTAACATGTGCTGAATGGAGAGAGGTATTTCCTTCATGGTTCAGGCCAAGGACCCTGGCCAAGACCTGGGGGTCACCCTGACTGACCCCCGTTGGCCACCTGAAGTGTCAGCAAATCTGCTGGCTCTGGCCTTCCCCATCCTCAGGTCTGGCTACCGCACCTGCACCCCTGCATGGGTCGATGCAGCCAGAACCTTTAAACTAGCCGGCACGGCTCTGTGATCTGTTGGCCTCCTATGCTCATCCCATGAGCCAGAGCCACACTGGCACCAACAGATTGGCGCCTCTTTTCCAACAATGGGCTGAGGCTTCTGGCCTGCCCGGCCTGGGTCTTGGCCTATCTCCTCGGGGAAGGGGTGGAGGGGACAGAGGCTGCTGTCACTGGCAGGGGCAGAGTCCATCCTGATGCGAACGACTCCTCCTGCCTGCTGCCCTCCAGCTCAGTGGTGACCCCACGCTTCAGTCTGCCCGGACTCCCAAGCAGGGCCTGCAAATGTCACTCCACCTCTCTCCATGGCTCCCTGGCCAGGAGCTGTGTCCTCCCCTTTCCCACACACCAGACCCGAGCCTGTCCTCACCAGGCTCTCCTCTCATGTCCCTACCAGGAGAGGCACCACTGGAACTCATAGTGATGGTCCCTTGGGCACAGGCAGTCGGGGTCAGAGGCCACATTCCCATTTATCTTGCTCTGACCCTGGGCTTGGTAGGAGCAGCTTGGCCAGATGTGAGCGGGCACTGCCCAGTACCAGGCTGGCCGCTTACCTGCTCACAGAGGGAGCGCAGGCCCATGTCATCAAGGCGGTCCAGCTCGAAGGTCTCCCCCAGCATGGGGTTGAAGGGCTTGGCGATGCGGTACACGGTGGTGGAGTAGGAGGACACAGAGAAGGCGGCCACCAGGCACATCTGCTCCACGGAGCTGGTGCAGTGCACCGCCTTGTCCAGCAGTTGGTGGTACTCCAGGTCCTCGGTCAGCCGCTGGAGCATGGACAGGGGCTCATTGAAGTTCACCTGCGGGGGTGGGGTGGGTGGTCAGTCCAGGCACCAGCCCCTGGCTTTCCTCGGATGTTCAGGGACATCCCTGCTTAGACAACACCTTCACAGTGAGGTTCCTTGGACAACCCTGACCAACACTGCAGCTCCTCGCCCAGTTACCTCCCTGGCCTCTCCGTGCCTCAGTTTCCTCCTCAGCCTTCCACCTTCTGGCATGCTGCCTCGTATACACTTGTATGTTCACTGTCACTCTCCCCTGAAAGAGGGACACCCCACAAAGGCCAGGGTTTCTGACTCGTCCACAGTTGTCTCATCAGTGCCGAATCACAGCAATGAGAATAGACGAGTGAATGGTCAAATGAGTCCATGAGTGGAGGAAGCGTGTCTTCCTCACAGTTTCAGCTGCGATGCCGGTTCTCCATGGAGGGGCCAGCAGAGGACGGTGAGCCTCTCAGGGCCCCCGTCTCGGTCTCAGGCAGGGCAGGTTCACATTCCCTGTGATGCCATCGGCTGAGAATCTTCCCTGCATCATCTCCTTCCAGAGGCCGTGAAGGGTCCTGTGATCCTCCCCAGTGCAGATGTGGACACAGAGGCCAGAGATGTGAAGGAACTTGTTCTGGGTCACACAGTGAAACCATCTGGCCTGGAGCCCCCAAACCCTTCCTCAGTGGAGATGCCACCACAGTCTGGCGGCATAAGGGTCCCAGCTTTGCCTTGGCCTGCTTTGTGACCCCGCTGAGCCTCTGCTTCCTGGAGAAGGTACCAGCATGGAGTGTCTGTCTCCTCCTCACATAGCCCGATCCTGCCACTCCCCATCTACAGAATTGGGGTGGCCAGGACACTGGGGCCTGTCAGGTCCAGAGGTGCTCCGCGTTCCCCACGTCTCTGATCGAGCCCCTGCCCTGCTCCTTCCCTCACAGCCTGAAGACCCTGCTCTCTAGGGTTCTGGGCAACGCTGACAAACAATTCGATAATTAGTTATGTGCTCCTCATGTGCCATTCAGAAAATGACACCCTGGGGCTGCGTGTACTTCACACAGGCTGTTGATTCTCGTCCATGTACAGGAAAACAGCCCCAGAGCACCCACCAAGGCTGCCCCCACCCTGAGCCGCCTACCGGCATGGGGATCCTGGAGAGCTCCCGGCCGATGCAGTTCTTCATGATGCTCCAGAGGTTAAGGCTGTAGTTAGGCTTATTGGGGATGCGGACTCTTCTCTTGACCTTGGATGAACCCTTGGGCACAAGTGAGGCAGCATCTAGCACCTGCCAGAGAAGCAGGGCATGCCCATCAGCAGAGACCAGAGCTCCTCCTCGGCCTCCACATCCCTGCCCTGCCCTCTGACCCTCTGAGGACTAGCACCAGGCCGGCCTCCAGCATGCTGCAGCCAGGAGGGCAGGCGGCTCTGCCTGGACTGTTGAATCGGAGGCATATCAGGGACCTGAAGGTAGCCAGAGTGCTGGGCCTGCCTGGTGGCCCCCAGCTCTTGGTGCTGGCCTGTCTCTCTCAGCCACCTGGAGCTTGGCCCCAGGCCAGAGCCGCCTCTTGGCTCTTGGGGTACACCCACCTCACTTGTGTTGTCTGATGAGGTCCATTCCACAGAGCCTGCCCCGGTTCCACCTTCAGCTTTTCTACAGGAAGCAAAAAGGGGGAAGCAAGTTAGTGACAAATCCCAAGGCTTTGGGACCTGGCCCCATCTTCTATCCAGACGCCTCAGTGAGGGCTGAGGGCACCCACCCAAGGCTGCTTCTAATGTGGGAATCTCCAATTTGGAACACTCAAGGTGGGGGCTGAGGGGCCCAGGTGAGCAATTTGGAGGGGTCCTCACCTGTTGATGCCCCTGGCAGCAGCTGTTCAGCAAAGCCCTTGTCTGGGGTCCCTGCACCCTGCCTGTAGGCTGGCTGACCCAGGCCCAAGATGAAGCTGGGGTTGGGCGCCACCTCTGGGACAGCCTCATAGAGCTCCATCGGCTCCTTTCTGTCACAGACCCATGTGTCCTCATTGCTTGTCTGACTCCCACACTAGACTGGGGCTCCTGGAGAGCAAGAAGGGTGTCTGATGCCTCCCATGCCCATGGATACTTGATTGAGCTGGGGATGGTCGGCCATGGCAGCAGGGGGCGCTGTTCCTGAGGGGCCAAGGCTCTGTGGGAGCCCCATGGAAGGGTGACCCAGGCCCACTGGGCTGTAACAGGCACTCAGCACCTCAGGGCATGGGAAGGAATCACCCAGTCCTTACAGGAACCAGACCCTGGGGGCTCCAGGCCTGTGAGGGGTGACGGGGCCGGGGCAGCCCAAGCAGGACCTTCCTGGCTGCAGACCCAAGGGGTTGACGCTGCTCTGATGATGCGGAGGAAGTTAGTTCAGAGCAGCCGAGCCGTGCTAACTTTGAGGACAGTGTAAGCAATTTTAAAATGTTCCTGGGAAATAGAAAACGACTATGAGCTGCCGATGGGACTGGAAACTCCCTGAGGAGTAGGAAGGAGTCATACAGCCCTTTCCCTGGAAGATGCTGGGACAAGGAGGTGATAGAGCACACGGGTCCACGGAAGACAAGCACCAGGTGAGAAAGGAGTGGCCTGCTGTGCCCAGCCTGCTTGTCTGTCTCACGCTCTCCCTGCACACGCGGTGCATGGGCGTCTGCTTTGGATCCCGACAGCGTCGTTTTTATTGCTAGTAAATGTCCTGGTCACAGTGTGTGTTCTACGGGTCACACACTGTATAGTGACATTTTGGTCAATGATGGATGGCATATATGATGGTGGTCCCTTAAGATTACCATACTGTATTTTTAGTGTACCTTTTCTATGTTTAGGTACGTTTAGATACGTAAATATTTGCCACTGTGTGACAGTTGCCGGCAGTGTTCAGCACAGTCACATGCTGCGCGGGATTGGAGCCCAGGAGCCGTGGGCTCTACACGTGGCCTAGCGTGTAGAAGGCTGTCCCAGCTAGGTCCGTGGAAGTACACACTGGGATGTTCACACGACGATGAAATCGCCTAATGACGCATTTCTCAGAACGTAGCCCCATTGTTAACTGACAAGTGACTGTATTTAGAAACATCCTGAAAGAGCAGGCTTTTATGAAGAATGAAACAAAGGCTTGGAAATAGAAGATGAGAAACTTCCTTCATCTCTGGGCTGTTCTCCTGACATGGTGGAGGGAGCCCTTGGGACCCCATGCAGCTCTGAAGCAAGAATGAGGGAGCCAGGGTCTTTGGACCCCAGCGGTGGGAGCCAGCCTCTACCCCACCTCCACGCTGGAACTGGATCCAGTCAATGCCTTGTTCTCCATTTTAAATTAAAAACCTCCTATAAACTTTATGTATGCACCTCAAAGCCTTTTGATTTGAGGAAGAAAAGAATCTAAACAAAAGTCCTATCTGGAACAAGATTTAAAAAAGGAATCCCCCAAGTACATAGAGCTGGTGAAAAGAAGGGCAGATGGAATCTAAGAACAAGGTGGGAGAGGCTGCCCTGTGAGAGGCTCCTCCCAGGCCGCAGCCATCCCTGCTGGGTGAGAGCCACACCTGTCTTCCTTGGCCTCAGTGATCACGGTGATGAAGGATGTGGCGTCTTCCATGGCATCGAAGTACTCGGTGTCTTCATCTTCCTCACTGTCCTCTCCTTTGTGAGTCGAGAGGCTTCCTAGAGACACACGCGGAGCCGCTGCTTTAGTTTGCAACTTCAAAAAAGGCCCGTCCTGCCTGCCTGGGGAAGTCCAGAGCCAAGGGCTTCCCCCTCTCCGCCCCTGCCCCATCCCGGCCCCCTATTCCCCTTCCGCCCTACACTGCAGCTGCCTTGCTCCCTTTCAATGTAGTCACTGCTCGAGGCCTCCTTCTGGAAGCTTCCCCTGACTCTCAAGACATGGGACAGTCTGTGGCCCAGCTTCCCTTTCTGATGGACCCCCTGCCCAAGGTCAGGTGGGTAGCCACCTGGCATCCCTGCCACAAAGGGGACAGCTGGGCTCATTTCATGTTTCTTTTGAGAATCTGAACCTAGTGCAGGGATACTATTGCCAGTCAGCGATGGGCGGGGGACGTATGAAGCCAACTGAGAGGCAGGCCAGAGCTGGCCAGGACGAGCGCACGTGTGGACACACTAAGGGGTGTGTAGGGGGCACAACAGAAATCGTGTAAGTGCAGCCAGTGGCAGAGAGAGAAGCTGAAGGTTGAGCAACGGACCCAACCCGGCCAGCCAGCCCTTGCCCACTCACCCTCGCTGAAGCTCTTGGTGGGGTTGTTGGACTGGCCAGGGGCGCTGCGGAAGGCCCGCTCGAGGCTGTTGTGCTGCTTGGCTAACTGCTCGATGGTTTCCTCCAGGTGGGCACGCTGCTCCTGCTCATACTGCAGTGCCCGCTGCCATTTCCGGCTGTGTGTCTCTGCTAGTTCCAGGAAGTCCCTGCAGGCCTGGGGTGGGGGAGTGGCTGTGTGAGCCCCAGGCCTCCAGCGGGGACCTGTGTGCTCCTACCTGCCACACCCCCACCTGCCCAGCTGCAGGGACAGGGAAGAAGGCCCTGGGAGTGCTGTCTAGCCTGCTTCTCCGCTGGGGTGGTCAGAAAGAGGTTTGCTGCCCCTTTGGCCTCTGTGGGGACATGGGAACCCTGGCACCCACCCTGGTCAGCTTTCCACAGGTTGCCGTTTGGAGAGCACCACACTGGGCGTCACTGGTCTGCACACTGCCTCCCCGGCACAGCCCCCTGGAGCTGGAGGATGCTGAGTCTTTTGCTCATCATGGCTGGGGCCCGAGCTCTCTGCTGCCACATCCTCACTGCATGCTGGGCCTCGGGTTTGTCACTGACCTCTGACTACACTGGAACCCAAGGCAGCCCTGGCAGCTCAGTCCACTCCCTGGCTTTGGCACAGAAGGAAGGAAAGCCACACTCTGCTGTACTACCCAGCTCAGAGAGGTAACAGGTCTTATCTGGCAGAACTGGGACTGGAACTTTCCACCAAGTTACGTCACAGTCTGTATCATATAACTGTTTTTAAGTTTCCCCCTTCAAGCTTGTGGCCTAGTATGACATCCAAATTCTTTTCAGCTTCCCAGGTGCATAGGTGGTTCCATCACATTCTCATAAAGCAGGGGTCAGTCATTCTGTCATTACAGTGGAGAAGGCAGCCCAGGCCTCAGCTGTCCCTGGAGGGCAGTGAGGTCCAATGCGGGGACCTCTGGATTTGCCCTTTCTGGACACATTCTTTAACCCAGTAGGAGGGGACCCGTTTCCTTGGCCCATGCCTGCATCGGTGGTCTGGCTGCAGCTCCCCCGCACTCCTCCCCAGCCCTTATTGGACCAGCCACCCTGGAGTGCCCGCTGGGCTCCACACACATCACACGCTGTCTGACCCAGAGGGTCAGAGACATGCCATCCTGCAGGGAGGCAGGCCCACAGGCCCTCCTCTGCGACACAGGGATAAGGCAGCGCTGTCTCCAAGGGCTGCTGGGAGGAAGTGGGGAGGTGATGTGGAGCACTGGGCCAGGGAGCACTGCGCAGACACAGCCTCGGGGGCTACCACCCACATCTGCACAGGCACCTGGCACTCAGGCCTCCCACCACCAGCAGCTCCAGGTGCCCCTCAGACCTCTTGTGCCATTTCCCCAGGAAACCACCTGGCCCCGCCTCAGTGGGGCCCACCCAGGCACCTGCCAGCTTGGTTAGTTTCTCCAGCGATTGCGCCCGTTTCTCTCCACCATAACCTGCTTCCCGTGGAATCCCCAACAGTCAGCAAGTGCTTCACATCATCTGCTGGGTGGCGCCTACCAGGGAGCTGGGGCTGGTGGCAGTGGGAGTGAGCAAGGGGGTGCGTGCTGGGCCTCCTGAGGACTAGCCCCTCCAGGGACGAGCAGGCTCCCCCCGGCTCTGCATCGGGGTGCCCTGCCTGGGCTTGGCTGGCTCATTCACCCCACAGGGAGAGCCTGAGCCCCGGTAGCTGGTCTGGCTGGAGGGAAAGGACCCCAGCCTGTCAGCTGGCCCAGCGACATATTCCTCTAACGAGCTCTTCTCTGGGCACTTTCCCTCCACCCACTGCCCCCCACCCAGCTCCCTTGCAGGGTGGGCAGGGCATGGGTGCCCCTTCTCATTCCGACAATGTGGAAATGGGCCCTGGAGATGCAGCATGACCTACCCAAGGAAACCAGCAAAGTGTAGTGGAAAAGGGCACATCACCAGAGTCAGAAAACCTGGGTTTGGGCACAGGCCACCCGGCCCCCTGAGCCCGCGTCCTCACCATGAGACAGACAATAATGTCAGACAGATCGCACACTCACAAGCTTCCCTGTCTCAGCTCACCCAGCAAAATCCTTGAGGTAGGACAAGTGAGATCATCCCCATTTGACAGATGGGGAAACTGAGGCTCAGTGCCTGGTAGCTCCCCCTCAAAGGCAGCAGGCTCCAAGGAGGCACATTCACTCCAACCTCAGGTTCAAGGTCCTCCCCGCCCTCCCTGGAAAGGTCTGGGTACAGGTCTCTGCCTGGCCACACCTAATTAAGGATTTATACTCACAGGTGTCCTGGCATAGGTTGGGGTGGGAAGGAGAGCTCATCTCGGGGAAGGAAAGAAATCACCTCATCTTACGCACTCAACAGAGTCCTGAATGTGGGAGAGCCTGTGTCCAGGCTGGTTAAAGATCTGGGGCTACTTTGAGTTTGCAAAGTATGAGTCTGTAAGGCTCCCCCTTGGGTGTGGAGCTGCAGTCACTGGCCACCATGCAATTTAGTGGGCCTGGGAGTGCCCTGGCTCCGGGCCCAACTCTACCACTCCCAGGCTTGTGACCTGCAGCCAAGGCCTTCACTGCCCTGGGTCCTATAGTGGCCTCCCTTCCTCCCCCTGGAGCCCCATCCCTCCTTCACTGCTGTAGACCTCAGGGTGGGGACCCTGAAAACAGACATATTGATACCCCATCCCAGCAGCCAGACCAGAAGGCACCTCTTTACTGGTTCTACGCCAGTAGGTATAAGGGGTGGTGGCAGGTGGGGGGGGGCGCCCTCCGGGTGCCTCGGAAACATTCCAGATCCTGTAGGAGCCCCATGAAATGGGACGACAGAGACCCTCACTCCATTCCAAGACAGTGAAACTGAGTTTCCGATGGCATGCAGCAAGGAGGTGGCAGAGCCAGATCTGGAACCCAGAGCTCACTCCACCACCTGCCCCCTGCCCGCTGTGCCCATGAGACCCATGTGACCCTTGCTTGCCATGGCCCTAAGCGTGGCCTCAATGCTGTTAGTCTTGATTCCTGCCATCTGTTTACTGTGCTGCTGTTGCTGGCACAGGTCAGCTGTGCTGCTGGCCCAGGCGGAGGGCCAGGCCCTGCCGAGCTGGCCTCGTGGCAGGTGCAGGGTGCAGGTGAGGAAGACAGCTCGTGTCAGTGGAGGAGAATGCCCTCGTCTGCCTGGGCCATGCTTCCGGGAAGTCCCTTGCCAGTTCCCGCTGTTGCCCCTGCAACCTCCTGAGACTCAGAGCAAGGGAGAAGGGGCTGCCCAGGTCAACAAGGGGTGACTCTGATGGGATCCTGGGTCTGTCTGGCCCCAGGGCCACGTTCCTTCCATATAACCAGGCCATCTCCACACAAGGCGTGGTTCCCTCATTTGTCCACCTTGGAGTGAAGGCGCAAAGGGCAGGGCTGTGCCGTGCATGGCAAGAGGTAACAGGTGCTGCGTGGTTTTCCTGGTTCTGCTAGTCTGTGGGCCCTGCCCGGCAGCTACATGAGGCCTCGCGCCTCTGCCCCGCACTGCCCCTTCCCTACCCCATGGCGACTGCTCCGTCACTTCCCGCCAGCCCTCTGCAGCCCCGAGATCATGTCAGTGAGGTTTAACATAGACGGGTGCTTTGCTTTTATATACCTCGTCTCATTTAAAGTAAGACTCATGAGAGAGCCACACAACAGCAGTGTAACATAGCAGCCATAGGTCATGGTAATAATTCCCACAAACTCACATCTGAGGACATCTGCCCTTCCCAGCAGCAAAAAGGAAGAGGGAAAGATGAACATAGCGTGAGGATGAATTACGATCCCTACCTCCTATCCTCACTGTCCACGGGCTCTAGATACTTTAGAAATGACCACTTTCTCCACCAAGGGACAGTGGGGTGTTGGCCGTTTCCCCCAGGCCCAGGCAGCTGACAGCCTCTGCTGGGCTGGCTCCCAGCCCTCTCCAGCCTCTCTGGGTCACCTTGTCCCCAGGCCCTTGGCTGTGGCCCACCAGGTATCTGTCTTCCTGCCCTTCCCTGGCTCAACCCAAACAAACCTGCTTATTCTGAAGCTGCCCCTCTGTCACACCGCACACCCGCGGTGGGCCAGGGCTGTCTGGGACATTCTCACAGGCACCGAAGTGCCTTTTCTAGAGTAAGCGTGACTGAGGAGGTGGCTCAGAGAGGCCAAGGGACTTGCCCAAGGCCACAAGGAGGCTTGCGTAGGGGCAGGGTCCGAGTCCCTGTGCCTGCAAGTCTCCCAGGGCATGGGACTAGTGTGGTCACAGCTAAATCTTTCTTGCTGTCTGGGAGCAAGGGCAGGAATGTCGTGGGATCCTGTGGCCTTCCTGGCATGGAGCTGGGTTCCCAGGAGATGCTAACAGGGACGCCTAGGAATAACCCTGTCTAAGCAGCAGTGCCAGCCCTCACCTCGGGGGAAGGGCTCCTCCGGCACTCTTGACCCCAGCTGAGTCCACACGCCCAGGGCTGCTGGCCAGTGACCTGGCCAGGTGTGACTTCCAAACACCTCACAACACCATAGGGCTGCCTGGCACAGTGCAGCAGCAAGACAGGGAGGCAAATCCCCTGGGACAGCGGGGGCTCATTTGGGTCACAGGTGACTAGGCTGGGCACATGCAGATTGCACAGTGTCACAGTCACCTAAAGGCGGGGGCAGGTGGGGGCCGCTGTACCCTAATGTTGAGGGGCTCATGTGGTTGGACCCAGGTCCTTCGCCACAGCGACCGTTCGGGGTCACCCGCAGTAGACGAGCTGCCTGGCCACTCCCTCCACCCCTGATGCACCCACCTGGCGTCCACGCCCAACTCCCAGGGTCTCCTCTGCCACCACCGGCCTTCTCCAGGCCCCATCCCGGCCGTGCTGTGGAGAGAGGCAGGTGCCCGGCCTGGCCCTGCCGCCCTGGAATGCTGAGCTGGGCTGTGTGCTCTGCGCTCATTAAGCTGGATTAGGCCTGGGGCCTGGCAGGGGGGCCGGCGGAGGGGAGAAGCGGGGAGGCTTCCGGGTCCCAGGGAGGGCCCTGCTGACCCAGCCCAGGCCCAAACATGGTCACATTTCCCTTGAGGCTCTATGACAACTACACCTGGGGCCAGGGAGCTTGTGCCCAGCCCTGTGCAGGTGGGGAGACTTGGTTGACCCCAATCAACCACCCACACCACACTCGCGTCCTGAATTGTTCGAGGGGAGGGAAACGAGTCCAGCTG